CAGGTGATCCAGCTGCCTTGGCCTCTCAAAGTGCTGGGATTACAGGCATAAGCCACTGCACCCAGCCTCGAGGATTTTTTTTTTTAATGTAAAAATACTTAGTCTGAATGAATGTATTACAGACGCTGACTTTTTGAGGAGGTTTCAGTTTCTTGCTTGAACTGGCAATGGGGAACGCTGTAGGTAACAAGACAGCAGATGATGTGAACAGTGAGAGGAAAGCACGGAGGGAGGGACCTCAGACCACTTTGGATTCACCGGAGATGTTTCACGTGTGCACTGTGACTCTTGCATAGGCAAATACACATCTTGGTGGATTTAATCTGTAAATATTAGGGATCGTCTAAAGGATATATTCCTTGCCTTAGCTGGCCTCTGATAAGGGGGAAAAAAAGAGTTTTTGAATTGCCTGACCTTAGTCTTGTCTTTATAATTAGATTACTGCTTCTGTCAGTTTTGTTTTACTGGCTTCTGAGTCTCTTATTAACTTCTGTTAGCTGGATGGGTCCTTCTGTAATGCAAATGTCTGATAGAACTGGAAGGAGAGCTTCGTTGGATGGTAGTATTGTTTGAACAACAGAAGAAATTCAGAAAAAGAGTAGAGCCCATGAAAAAACAATGAAGGAATCTTATTCTTGGGGAGAATATAAAACTTTAATTTTTGTCATTTTGAGCTGTTGGTATTGCCAGTGACAGTGAAAGGGAAATTTCGGCTGGTAGAAAGAGCACAGGGTCCTTAGATTCAAAGAGCCTAGGCTCAAAATCCAGCTGTCACTAAATGTGCGGTATGGGGCAAGTTACTGTCTTTGAGCCTGAGTTTCTCTAAATGTAAAATGGAAATGATGACTCACTACAGATTTTTTAGGAATTGAAAAAAAGTATGTAGAAGAGCTTAACACAGAGGCACTCAAGTTTACTTGAATCCAATGCAAAGGCAGCCACTGTTTTGGCCTGCTTAAATCTCTGTTCCTTCTGAAACACACACACACAAAAGCTAGAATTCAAACCCACTGATAATTTTTAGTTGTATATTAGACTATGATCTTATTTACTTAAAAAAGTTACTTGGTTCCATGCTTTTCTTCTTAAAAAAGGGAAGTTACTTGCATTTTCAATTGAACTCAATTGGAATTTCTTGAGGTATAGACATTTCAGAGTCCAATGAGAAGCCAGATTCTAGAGAAAAGACTATAGGTAGTCAAAGAAGGGGATGGGTGGGAACTCAGCTTATTCTTTGAATCATTCCAGCCTAGCTAAGTTGTTTTTTCCAGTTTTAAGCCTGGTCCTGGAATGCCTCTTTATTTCAAAGTGAAACAAAATTGAAATGGCCCAGTAAGTAGTGTAAAGATGTTAATGAGAAGTTTTAATATTTTATTCCTTTATTGAAAGTGTCTGACATAGACATTACAATGAATGTAAAATAGGTGATATTCTTTAAACACACAAAAAAACAATTTTCAAAGCCATTTTCAGGCCACCTGTAACTTGATAGGGATGAGTAACAGTTTGTGCCAGTTGAAAAAAACAGCGCTAAGATTTATCAGTTTATCTTCACTATTTAGTTTACTTCTTTCTTTATTGTTTGTTTATTTACTACTCTTTTAAGACAGCATCTCACTCCGTCTCCCAGGCTTGAGTACAGTGGCATGATCATGGCTCGCTGCGACCTCAACCTCTTGGGCTCAAGCGATGCTCCCACCTCAGCCTCTCAGGTAGCTGGGACTACAGGCATGTGCCACCATGCCTAGCTAATTTTTGTATTTTTTGTAGAGACAGGGTCTCACTGTGTTGCCCAGGCTGATTTCAAACCCCTGGCTTCAAGCGATCTACGGGGCTTGGCTTTCCAAAGTTTTGGGATTATAGGTATGAGCTACTGTGTCTGGCCAGCTTCTTTTATTTTATAAACATTGTCTCAGCCCTTAAGGCAGTTTTGAAGAGGTCGACTTCAGACTTTGAAATTAAGTTGCTCAAATGTTATGCTAGTGTGTATACATTCAGGTTTTTTGCAGGAATAGAAGAGAATGGTGGCAAGGATTAAAAAAAGATCAAATAATTTGCATCTTTCTCTCTTAACAGGAGCATTGTAAGCCAAGTAGGCATGGCTTTTCATTTCTTATCTGCCTGCCTGTATATATGGAGGCCTAATTTTCTTCCTTAAACGCCTTGGTTTCTTAGACCTACTATGTTCTTTTAAAGCTTTGATGGCATCAAATAGTCAAGTGGCTAATAATAACGTCATGGCCTTTGTAGTCATGTGGCCCTAGGATCTAACATAATTTCTGCCAATAATTAGTGATGTGACCTAACCTTGAGAAGTTTGCATAACTTGTTTAAATTTCTGGAAATTATACCCACCTTGCAGGAAACTTTAAGAATTAAATAATGTATAAAAAGCTTAGTGCCTGACATGTAGTACTTCTAATAATAATAGCTAATGATAGCCAGCACTAATATAGTACTTACCATCTGCCAGGCAGAATATTAAGCACTTTATATTAAGTACATTTTTTTTTCCCCCGAGATGGGAGTCTCACCCTATTTCACAGGCTGGAGTGCTGTGGCGTGTGCTAGGCTCACTGCAACGTCTGCCTCCTGGATTCAAGCGATTCTCCTGCCTCGGCCTCCCAGTTAGCTGGAATTATAGGCACGCACCACCACGCCCAGCTAATTTTTGTGTTTTTAGTAGGGACAGGGTCTCATCATGTTGGCTGGACTGGTCTCGAACTCCTGAACTCAGGTGATCCATCCGCCTCAGCCTCCTAAAGTGATGGGATTACAGGCGTGAGCCACTGTGCCCGGCCTGAAGTACATCTTTTAATGCTCTCAAGAACCCTAGGAAGTACATGCCATCATTTTTCTCTTTTTGTAAATGAGGAAACAGGCTCTGGAGCTGAGCTTTCAGCCATTTTGCTGTATTGTCTCTCCATACATAGGGTATTTATGGAATATTAGATAACAGTGATACATCCCACCTTCAGAGTGCTAGAATGTGGAAAATGGTGCTTTTTAAAAATGCTGAAATTGACACTTCCTATACTAGAACGTGTTTAGTGTTGGTTGTCTTTTACACCACACTCAACATCAGAAGGATTTTTTTTTTTTTTTTTTTTGATAGAGAATCTCGCTGTATCACCCAGGCTGGAGTGCAGTGGCTCGATCTCGGCTCACTGCAACCTCCACCTTCCAGGTTCAAGCAATTCTCCTGCCTCAGCCTCCCAAGTAGCTGGGATTACAGGTATGCGCCACCACATGCTGCAAATTTTTGTATTTTTAGTAGAGATAGGCTTTCACCATATTGGCCAGGCTGATCTCGAACTCCTGACCTTGTGATCCGCCCACCTTGGCCTCCCAAAGTGCTGGGATTACAGACTCTGCCTGGCCAGAAGGATGGTATTTTTAAGATTAGTTTGGTGACATTAGACAGGATGTTTTGAATTGACAAAGGGATCAGCTAGAAGACTTACAGTAATGTACAGACATGAAATAATGGCTGAAATAGTGGTGATAGTAAGACAGGGACAGAACTAAAGACTTCATTGGGTTTTTTAGTTGGTTTTGTTTTCAGACAGGGTCTTACTTTGTCACCCAGACTGGAGTGCAGTGGCGTGATTTCAGCTCACTGCAACCTTCACCTCCCAGGTTTAGGCAATTCTCCCACCTCATCCTCCTGAGTAGCTGGGACTACAGGTGTGCGCACCACAGTCAGCTAATTTTTGTATTTTTTGGTAGAAATGCAGTTTCACCACGTTGACCGGGCTGGTCTTGAACTCCTGACCTCAAGTGACACTCTTGCCTTGGCCTCCCAAAGTGCTGGGATTACAGGTGTGAGCCACTGTGCCCAGCCCTTCATTGGTTTTTAAAAGTTTAAATGTAATACATATAATGGCAAAAAATTCAAACAGTAAGCAAGGCTACATATTATAGTGTGTGTGTGTGTGTGTGTATATATATATATATAAAACAGTACAGAGTAGGGATACAAGAATATGTATTATGATAAAAAATATATGTTGCATATATTATATATGTTAACCCATGATACATCCCACGTCCTAACTTTCCACATTATAATACCTCTGAAAGTGGGATGTATCACTGTTATCTAATATTCCATAAATACTCTATGTATGGAGAGACAATGTAACAAAACAATTAAAAGCCCAGCTCCAGAGCCTGTTTCCTCATTTGTAGAAACAGAATAACAACAGTGTGTACTTCATAGGGTTCTTGAGAGCATTAAGAGATGTATTTCATGTAAAGCGTTTAATATTCTCCTGGCAGTAAAGACTAGATTTTCTTCCCACTCCAGATCCTTGATTCCTCTGCTTAGAGACAGCAGCTGTTACTGGTTTCTTTTATGATGTCTCTGTTGAGATATTTTGATAGAAAAAGCAGTAAAAAATGGAAACTGGCACATTTCTAGATTTTATTGACTTTCTTAAAAAGAACTTTGACAGATCTGAAATTCTACCCCATTTGTAAGCTAACAAGTTAACCTGCCTCAGTTTCATGGATACTGGCAGGGGGCAGCATCCTGGGTCAGTAGGCAGCATGAACTTCATGTTAGTTCCCCCTGACATTCATATCTAATGGTAAGGGAGGAGACCACCCCCATATTGTCTTATGCCCAATTTCTGCCTCCAAAGAAAGAAGAAGTAAAAACTAAAAGGCAGAAATGAAATCCACAAGCAGACAGCCCAGAGCCACACCCTGGGTCTGGTAGTTAAAGATCGACCCCTGACCTAGTTGGCTGTGTTGTCTATAGATTACAGACATTGTATAGAAAAGCACTGTGAAAATCCCTGTCCTGTCCTGTTCTGTTCCGTTCTAATTACCGGTGCATGCAGCCCCCACTGAGTCATGTACCCTCTGCTTGCTCAATTGATCACGACCCTCTCACATGGACCCCCTTAGAGTTGTGAGCCCTTAAAAGGGACAGGAATTGCTCACTCGGGGAGCTCAGTTGTTGGAGACGTGAGTCTTCCCGAAGCTCCCGGCTGAATAAAGCCCTTCCTTCTTTAACTCGGTGTCTTGGGGGTTTCGTCCGCGGTTTGTCTGGGTACAACGGGAGTGATATGGAACAGCCCAGGTGAATGCTGTGCATCACAGCTAAGGGACCTTGAGCTTGGGAAACCCTGTCTGTAAGAAAACTCACTCAGCTTTTGCCCCAGGAGAAGATATTCTCTACAAAAATAATTGAGAAGATAGTCTGAAACAAAAGCTGTTCAGCGCTGCTGCTCACAAAATGTGCACAAACCTGAGACCCACAGAAATCTTTCTACCAGCCTATTTCTTCCTCCTTCCCCACTTTCTTTAACTAAAAAAGAAATTTATAAGTTAATTTCAGTGGAGAAGTAGATGGTTTTTTAACCATCAAATACATTATAAATTCACTAGAAAAACTGTAAGCCTTATATATGTGGATATAAAGAAAAACTAATTATGTGCAAATGCAAGAATATTGGCAGTATGTTGTGTTTGACAGTAACTCTTTGATAAAGTCAACTAACAGCACAATTTTTAAAAATAGGTGTAGCTTTTAAATGCAGTTGTTTGGATTTTTTTTAGTTATTAAATGTTTTATCCTTATGTCAGTTAAACAGGTTATAAGGCTTTACAGGTTATATAGTACTTTCAGAGAAACTTGACTTAAATCTCAAAATAGTCCAATGAGAAGATAACCCTGTTTTATAGGTACAGAAATTGAGGCTTTAAAAAAATTAAGTGAGTTGTGCAAGGTCAGATGTTAGTAAGTGGCAGAATGGTAATCTAAACCCAAGTTCTCAACAACAATTATAAAAAATCTGAAAGTCTGTTTTTTCCTAGAATTTAGCTACTTTATCTTGACCCTTCTCAATCAGTAGTCTGTCTTCAATGATTTGGACTTTAAACCACTTTTAGAAATATGTCTGTGAACTCATGTGCATATCCAGAGTTTCACAGGTCAGCAAGAGAATGCCTCAGAATAGATTTTCCAATATGTAGCAACATGGGCCTAAATAATAATTTTCAAGATTATCTCTATATTTTTATTTTAAATAAAAGTGCATGCCAGATCCTGGATTAATGAGAAAGGGATCAAATATTAATCCAAAATGGAAGCTATTTTAATTTAGAGATTTGGTGTTATTTAATTTGATATACAAGGAGGTTAGAAGGAGAAATAGGTTTTACAATAGAGAAAAGTTGTTCTTACACCTGATGAGTGTTTTAAGTAGGATTTTTTGGGCTAGTTAATCCATGCTAATAGGAAATTTGGAAAATAGAGAAAAATATAAAAATATAAAATAGAGTCCCTTATTTCATTAACATCGTAATAAGAGATAAGCACTTTTAATTATTTATGGCCTTCTAGTCTTTTAATCAGTGTCTGTAAATTGAGATAATTTATGCATTTTTGCTTTTTTGCCCTGATTCCAGTTTCTATGTGATTATTTTTACAAAATATTTTTGTTAGCTATATCACGTTCTAGTGTCAGAATTATTAGTATTTAGTTAAAATCTGCTCAGATTGGGCTTTTAGGTTGTGTTTTTGCTGCAATAAACATGATAGGAACAACATGTTTTCATGTACAGCTTTATCCTCATTTTGTACTATAGGAAAAATATCTAGGTTAGAATTACTAAGTTAAAATATGGACACTTGGGGCCGGGCACAGTGGCTCACGCTTGTAATCCCACCACTTTGGGAGGCTGAGGTGGGCAGATCACCTGACGTCGGGAGTTCAAGACCAGCCTGACCGGCATGGAGAAACCTCGTCTCTACTAAAAATACAAAAAATTATCCAGGCATAGTGAGTGGCACATGCCTGTAATCCTAGCTACTTGGGAGGCTGAGGTAGGAGAATCGCTTGAACCCGGGAGGCGGAGGTTGCAGTGAGCTGAGATCATGCCATTGAAGTCCAGCCTGGGCAACAAGAGCGAAACTCTGTCTCCAAAAAAAAAAAAAAAGAAAAAAGACACATATTTATGCTTTCCATATTTCATGGTAATTTGCTTTCTAAAAGGCTATATGAATTTCTAAGTGTGCTTGTTTCTCTATATGTTCAACAGAATGGAGTGCTATCTTTACCAAGTTTGGTAGAGTTGGTAGTTTGATAGCTAGTAATGTTATTTTAAATTGGATGCTTTTAGTTACTAGTAAGCAATTTGAATTCTGTGAAACTTGTTCATGATCTTTACTCATTTTTTTCATTTTTTAAATGCATTTATGATCTCTTCAGGCTATCAGCCTCTTGTCATCAAACATGTGCAAGATTTAAGACTCACCAGTGTAGGGTTAACGGATGAGTTCTCAGAGGCAAAGGCTTTATAGAGAATAGAAGATAGAAGTGTGAACTGAGCCCTGAGGACAACCTGCAAGGAGTGGATAAAAAGCCAATAAACAGAAAATTTTAGTGTTCAGAAATTAAAGAGAAGATTGAATACTTTCCCTCCTCTTAAAAGTAATCCTTCCTTTATTATAAATATACAGTCTTTTCTCTCAGGATTTAGTTCAGTAACTCACTGATGTTACTCAAAAATTGTTATTAGATTAAAAAAATTTTCTGAGCTAAGATGACAGTGACTGTCTTCTAAATTTTAGTTTCAGTTAATTTTTCAAAACAAAACCAACACAGTCGAAGCCCCCTTGTGCACTTCTCTCTGACTGCATCCTTCCCTGCCTCCCAGTTATCCTGAAATTGATATTTATCACTCCCATCTTTTGTACCTGTCTCACATCGTGTACCTTAGTCTTTTCTTAATTAAAGCAGATGTTCCATGTAAACTTATTTATTAATATTTCTTCAACTGAAATACCATTTGGACCTAGGGAAAAGTTAAATATACTATTGTGTTATATTACTCCATTTACTTTCTCCTATGTTTGCCTTTGAATTGTCCAACTCTTTGCTAGTTCCATGCTTGGTTTAACCCAGTGTTCTGCCGTCTGTGGTTAGCAGAACTCAGAAATTGGAGGAATCCAGAATAGTAGTTGAAATACTTGGGGTGGGGGACAGGGTAGGAGTGGAGGGTAGGAGCAAGAGGGCCAAGAGAAATGAAATGCAGCTGAGAGAATAATCAGATTCCTTCCAAAGCAAGTGAACATTGTCAGTCTGCATAGCATCATAAATAGCTTTCTAAAACTACTGTTCTTCCCCGCCCCCCCAGATGGAGCCTTGCTTTGTTGCTCAGGGTGGAGTGCGGTGGTGTGATCTCGGCTCACTGCAACCTCTGCCTCCCGGGTTCAGGTGATTCTCCTGCCTCAGCCTTCTGAGTAGCTGGGACTACCAGTGTGTGCCACCACGCCCAGCTAATTTTTGTGTTTTTAGTGGAGACAGGGTTTTACCATGTTGGCCAGAATGGTCTCGATCTCTTGACCTCATGATCCGCTTGCCTTAGCCTCCCAAAGTGCTGGGATCACGGGCATGAGCCACTGCACCCGGCTAGAAACTACTTTTTACAGCTGGAGTTTCAGAACTAATTTAGTAAGGGATTGAAAAGGAGGATACGGTTGACTCATTTGTACAGAGTATATGACTCATTTGTACAGAATGAAAACATGTTTATGAACATGTTTCACACTAAGTGAAAGCTGGCATCCAACTTGATTCAGACAAAAGTGAAAGCCAAGAAGTTAATAGTACATTAATTCACCAAATGCATGCCAGCAGAGCATGGCAGGAAGGTGCACAACTCAGCAGATCTGGGTTGTCCTGGTTCTCCTGTTGACTCGTGTGTGTGATGTTAGGCGGGTGAACCTTGCCTTTGAATCTCCATTTGGAAAATACCTCTCCTGAAATAGAGATGGGTAGGGTAGTATACCATATTTCTTAAGATCTTTTATAAGTTGATTCCATTGTTTTAAATTATGAATCCTAAAGTATTTCTTTGTGAAAAAATTTGTAAGGCTGTGATTTACTAAACTTCCTTAAAATTTTAAATTTTAGGGAAGACATGTAAGGAATTTACATAAGACAGCTATGCAAAATGGAGCTGGAGGAGCTTTATTTGTGGTAAGTCATTACTTACATTTCTTTGGAAAGAAAAGACTAGGAAATTTGGGTAAATCCATTGTAAAAATCCAAAATATCTTAAATACCGTTGTCTAAAATTGTGGGAATTTACATATAGCTAATTGAATTTACTACATTTCAAAAGATGTGTAGTTCCAGTTGAACCTCATGAGTTTAAATTAGTACCAGGAAAACTCTGGGAATAAGAATTTATTTCCAGTGAAATTACTGTGTGAGCCCTAACCTGATTCTCATCACACTCTGGGTTCTCAGTCATGTTGGCTTACTGAGGGTTTGAAGATTGTAACTTGTTGAATCCCAAAATGACACTAGTTTGAAACTTACGGGTTTTAGTAATGTAGTAACTAGATTAGCAGCTGGTCTTTATATTTTTAGTTTCCGGAGTTTTCACTATAGATAGACGTCTACGAACTCCCCAGATTAGTTGCACAATTTGGAAAGGATAAGATACTGTATCTCCCTTTTCTGACAAGGTGCAGTTTTCAGGGATTACTCTTGTGTAAAGGAAATATAGTGGACTTGTGTGATGGTTTAGTTCGTGGTGTAAGAAGTAGCTTCCTGCTACATATCAATCATCAAATTGGCCACATATTTGAGATCATTGTCTAGAGTTTCTGTTTTCTTTCCTCTTTTGGTTTATGTCCTTTAAAAAGCAGAACTCTGAGAGTTAACATATCAAGAGATTCATTTCTGTATTCACCACACATACATAACATTAATTGATCGTAAGTGTTAATCTCAGTGTGACTCATTTGATTTCCTGTTGACATGCCATTTCTTGTCCGTTTTTGAAGAGGGCCTGTGTCTGCTCTTTTAAGAAGAAATAAAGCTTCTTGCTGTTGGCTATTATGGAAAACGTGGGAAAGAGATGGTGCTTTTTTTTCTTTTTTTTTTTTGAGATGGTCCTTTTGTACCCTCCTAAAGTAATGGGTCTTAACCCTTTTGGATCCCAGATCCCTTTGACAATCTGATACCCTCTCTTTTGGGAAAATACACATGTTCACATTTAAAATTTTGTGTTTTAATTTCATAAAGGCTTCCAATAATTGGTAATGTTTTGGTAATTCCATCAGAAGATCTTACTCTCTAATGAAGCTGGATAACACTTTTTGTTGTTTGGGTTTTTTGTTCCTAAAGGTACTTTTCTTATTCTTTAAATGGTCCTTTGTAAAATTTTAAATTCTAACTTTACTTTGGTAATCATACTCATCAAATGTGTGTTTAGTCATTCTTTTTGATGGAAGGATAGGGTGCTATATATCATGTTGGAATTAAAATGGAGAGATTAAACAATAAGTAATAGTATAGTAATGTACAGTGTTATTCACACTTGAGAGAATTCGGATAATTCTGAAAAACTTTTTTTGTTGTGTAGCACAGAGATACTCCTGAAAATAACCCTGATACTCCATTTGATTTCACACCAGAAAACTATAAGGTATGGCTAAATTAACATTATAATTAATGTACCAAATAGGTAATATTTTCTAGATGTGGAAAATGATGTTCTTTCTTTTACACAGAGGATAGAGGCAATAGTAAAAAACTATCCAGAAGGCCATAAAGCAGCAGCTGTTCTTCCAGTCCTGGATTTAGCCCAAAGGCAGAATGGGTGGTTGCCCATCTCTGCTATGAACAAGGTACTGGATTCATTTTTGCCTTAGTTCCAAAAGAGAAGAGATTGTGTATGATAATTTCCTTTTATAGAAATTACTCTGATCATCTCCAGTGTCAGAATCTAGGATTTTGGAGCCCTTTAGCCATTTGTATGTTTCCTTGAATTGTCTTTGTGTTTTTGTTCATTCCCTTAATGCATAGAGGTGATTTCTAACCTTGCAGGAAATAGGGAAGGCATTATGGTGAAAGAGGGTATATGTGTTTTTTTTTTCTTTTGAAGCAAATGGTCATAGGAAAGATAAAAGATTCCAAATGTGTGTAACTTAGTACCAAGATATTCTGAAAATTAATGTAATATTTAAACACTAGAATTACAGAAAAAAAGATCTGCTCAACAGTCTGAAGATTTTTAATATTTTACATCTTTGGCTGTAGGCTGTAAGAAAAATCTGTATAATATGTGATGTTTATACAGTTTATGCTACTTTGGAATCAACCTATAGAAATGCTATGGATGACCCATTTTATACGAAGTTACTCTATTCATATAAGATTCATTTTTTCTAATAGTTTTCAGCAGTAATCCAAATTTCAAGTTTATTCATATCCTATTAATATAAATAACTACATTTGTATGGTGATGTATTATAGCATATCATTTATAAAGTGCCATACACAAAGTTTGATTCTGATGAGAATCACACAACTATTAAAGCCGTGTTATATAATGGAAAGTATTTTTGACTTAGAACTAAGACACCTGATTTTTCTCTGAACTTCCTCATTGGCAATGAAAGTTTTGAACTAGGTAGATCTCTTCCAATTATTACGTTATGATTTCATTTTATTTTATTTTATTTTTTGAGATGGAGTCTCGCTCTGTCGTCCAGGCTGGAGTACAGTGGAGCGATCTCAGCTCACTGCAATCACTACCTCCCGGGTTCACGCCATTCTCCTGCCTCAGCCTCCTGAGTAACTGGGACTACAGGCACCCACCACCACACCCGGCTAATTTTTTGTATTTTTAGTAGAGATGGGGTTTCACACTGTTAGCCAGGATGGTCTCGATCTCCTGACCTTGTGATCTGCCTGCCTTGGCCTCCCAAAGTGCTGGGATTACAGGCATGAGCCACTGTGCCCGGCCTATTATGTTACAATTTCTAAGCGGCAGTACTAGGACTAAATTCATTTCTAAATCAATGCATTTTCTACTTGACCGACTATATAATAGAGATTTTGTTGTACTTCATTTTTACCACTTTCTAAACTTTATTTTGTTATAACTGTTAGGCTAGACTATCATTCTTTCTAAGAGAATAGGAATATCCTCAATTTATCTACTAGGATCCTAAATGCAAATTTTAGATTTAGTTTATTGATCTTTTATTGCATTGTATAGTATTATAACACTGTGTGGATCCTTGGTATTTTTTCCCTATGAAAAATGTTATAAAGCAAGTTTAGTGAGTTACTATCCTGACAAAACATAGGTGGTTATTTTTTCAATAAATTATATATTTCTTGAGAAGTTACTTAACATTTTTTAAAAATTAAAATAGCCAACTTTATAATGATTTAGGTATATGTTTCTAATTATAATTTTATTATTATTTTGAAAACACATCATGTTTTTAATAATGATAAGCCTGTTGGAAATCTTGCTGAGTGTCACGTTAGCAGAGCAAACTAAAAATAAATAAGAAACTGAAAGTGAAAACATTTAAAAAATAAGACAGGCACGGTGGTGCACGCCTGTAGTCCCAGGTACTTGGGATGCTGATGTGGGAGGATTGCTTGAGCTCAGGAGTTTAAGACCAGCCCGGGCAAGATGGTGAGACCCTATCTCTTAAAAAATACGTATTTATGTATTGTCCTATTATATTTAGGGTTGGATTTGTGTGGGCGAAAGGCAGGAAGTTTAGGGTATAGGGAATAGACTCAAGATTCTTTGCAGTTTACATCTGGGACTTTTATTTTAATGTTACTGCCCCTCCCCCCAACCCATGAAACACCCAACCTTACAACAAAAAATATCCAGAAGCTTAATATTTAACCATCACTAAGGTGTAGGGAGATGTGCAGAATTCCAGGAAGGAGCCTTTTCAAATGAGCCAGGGTCTCATTCCAGATTTATTAAATTATTCCTTTGGTAGGGTTCCAGCATGTATATTTTGATAGAGAGCTCCACAGATTTGGGAATACATCCTTGATTTAGAACTGCCGAATGAAATAGCACAACTACTTTATCTGTCACAAGTGAGCCATGATTAGACGTCTTTTGAGAATACATTTACTTTAGAATTCCTAGTATGAGAAAGTTCAACATACTTGTCTGAAATGCCCACTCTTCTTTTATATCAGAATATGGATATATGTATAATTTCTAAGAATACCAGATCGTAAGTCTTAATGATAATAGGTCACCTAGAAAGTTGTAGACAGAATTATAAATTACGATAGACAAGGACCGGCCCTGGCAAACAGCTAGAAAGCCTTGTTTTCCCTGACAGACTTGCCCTAAGAAAAGCATGCTGAGTTGGTGATCCCCTTAGTTCTGAACACCAGAATGTCAAAACAATTGTTTTCTATTAATGTCTTGATGGGAAGGGTTAGAAAGTACTAGATTATATGATCCAACTTTCAAAAGAGTATTGTGATATGAAATAGAAGTAGTGTTTTGGATTATTGTGGGAGAAGAGTGTGTGATTGTGTAAGTATGATGATATGTGTATACATATATGTAGAGTTATAAAATTTTGAGTTTACATATTTAAAATATGGGCCAATTAGTGAGCTTTGATTTTCAACCTTTTTTGCTGTTGCTGTACCATTTGTATGTAGGCTTTTTGGAAAAAAATTGGTGAGGGTTTAGAGAAAAAGAATATCCTTTTACAGAGGTGAGAAGTAGGGTAGAAGGAGGAAGTTCTGTTAACTCTATTAACTTTTGGGCTCTGTATGGTTTAAGTGTAAGTACACTGTCTGCAAAAATTGAAGAGTTTATATCTCCCAGTTATCCAAGACAAGTATGTTTTCTGCTCTTGAAGAACTTTTCTGTTTTTACTAAATTGAGCCAATATTGAAATTATACTTTGTACAACATAAAGCTCCATTACTAACATTGTAATTATCTTATTTTTAAATGTCCTAATATTTTAGGTTGCAGAAGTTTTACAAGTACCTCCAATGAGAGTATATGAAGTAGCAACTTTTTATACAATGTATAATCGAAAGCCAGTTGGAAAGTATCACATTCAGGTCTGCACTACTACACCCTGCATGCTTCGAAACTCTGACAGCATACTGGAGGCCATTCAGAAAAAGCTTGGTAGGGAATACATGATATTTGTAACATTGATAAAAAATAGAATTGTCTCTCTAGATTTGATACATTTCTTATCTAAAATTTCCAACTTGTGCCATCTTACTGGATCTGTGTTTCCACATCTTTATTTCTTCCTATTTGGTATTCTTCCTTGGTTCTTAAAGCTGAGTTTTTAATCTTTTCATTTTTAATCACTGTGTTTGAAATGCTTCTAGAAGTTATAAAATATTCGTTGTTTAGAAGATTGTTTCACTTAGAAAATTGTTTCACTTATTATTCTGTGATAGCATGTGGTATATTGAAAAGTGACCCATTATTGTCCTCATATTCTTCTAAAGAAGTCATGGAACAAATAAGATACAAGCATAGTAAGAATGCTTTGGGAAGGGAAATTTGAAACAGATGTTATTATAGTAGCATTTTAAAAGTAAACGGGCACTTTCCCCTAGAAAACTGCTATTGCTAGACTTCTAACTATATATGTCAAATTAAGTACTATTTTGTTATTGAATATAAAGTACGTGCATGTTGTAAAAATAGCTGGGTGGTATTGAAATATATAAAACAGAAAGCTGAAGTTGGCTCAAAATCCCCACCCCCAAAACCATCAAGGTATAAATCCTGATAACAATTGGATATATTAGTTGTAGATTTTATATCATTTTAATTATTAAATATATAAATGTACTATATGTATGCATGCTTTTTAGACTTTATTTTGGCTGTATTTCTACAGCACAATATATATGTCTGCCTCATTTTTTTTTTCTTTTTTTTTTGAGTTGAGGTCTCACTTTGTCACCAGACTGGAATGCAATGGCTCAATCATGGCTCACTGCAGCCTCCAATTACCATAAATATCCAGGCTTTAAAAAAATTCTTTAAACATTTTTGCATTTAAAAGATCAAGTGATCTTTTACCTCACCCTTCTAAGTAGCTGGAGCTATGGGTGCATGCTGCCAAACCCAGCTAATTGATTTTTGTTTTTGTAGAGAGGGGTCTTGCTATGTTGCCCAGGCTGGTTGTGAAATCCTGGCCTCAGGCAGTCCTCCCACCTTGGCCTCCCAACTGCTGGGATCACAGGTGTGAGCCACCATGCTTGGCCTGCCTCATTTTTCTGTTACAATTACTTTGATGTACACACATCTTTGCATACTTGTCCTGTTGTATACTGAGATTGTTTACAAGAAGTAGAATTGTAGGGTCAGACTTTGCTGTATTTTTCCCAAATGCCTTCCGTAAATGTATGAGACTACCCATTTTCTTCACATCCCTTAATAATCTTTGATGTTAGAAGTTTTCTGAGTCTTTACCAAATCTGATAATGTGACTGTGATTTTAGTAGTTTAATTATTGCAATCAAAATGAAAATAATACAGCCTGATGCACTTCTGTATAACAACACACACTGTGTCCTCTGAAATATGATTGCTTTTAAAGGAACAAGTCCACTAAAAACTTCCTTGAATGTTAAAATTACATAAAGTAAAGAGGTTTTGTTTTGTTTTGTTTTTTTTGTTTTTTTTTTTGGTTTTTTTTTGAGAGAGTCTTGCTCTGTCACCCAGGCTGGAGTACAGTAGCACAATCATGACTCACTGCAGCCTCAACCTCCCGGGCTCAAGCAATCTTCCTGCCTCAACTGCTTGAGTAGCTGGGACTACAGACCAGATACTAATTTTTAATTTTTTTGTAGAGCTAGGTCTCCCTATGTTGCCCAGACTGGTCTCAAATTCCTGGGCTCAAGCCATCCTCCCACCACCGACGTCCCAAAGTGCTGGGATTATAGGCTTGAGCCACTCACTGCATTTGGCCTAGGAGTTTTTTCTTTTTAAAAAACTTTTTTTTTTTGGCGGGTGGGGGAGAGATGGAGTCTTGCTTTGTCTCCCAGGCTGGAGTGCAGTGGCGGGATCTCGGCTCACTGCAAGCTCCGCCTCCCGGGTTCACGCCATTCTCCTGCCTCAGCCTCCCGAGTAGCTGGGACTACAGGTGCCCACCACCATGCCTGGCTAATTTTTTGTATTTTTAGTAGAGATGGGGTTTCACAAGTGTTAGCCAGGATGGTCTCAATCTCCTGACCTTGTGATCCGCCTGCCTCGGCCTCCCAAAGTGCTGGAATTACAGGCGTGAGCCACTGTGCCTGGCCTCTTTTTAAAAAACTTAATAGTCTTAAACTTTTAATTTACCTCTGTAAAAATTGTTCTTTTTTTTTTTTTTAACCAAATCACTATTAAAATATAACCTGGTCCTTAGAGTGTTTGTTTATATTTTTAGGAATAAAGGTTGGGGAGACTACACCTGACAAACTTTTCACTCTTATAGAAGTGGAATGTTTAGGGGCCTGTGTGAATGCACCAATGGTTCAAATAAATGACAATTACTATGTGAGTATTTCATGTAATATAAGTTAAAGTTGTATGATTCATATTTGAAATATTTTAAATATTTGATCTTGTGTCCTTAGATGTTGGTTTCTGAATTATTCGTTTAGAAGAAATGGTTACCATAAATATCCAGGTTTAAAAAATTTTTTTAAACATTTTTGCATTTAACTTCAGAAGACAAATTTTAAAACTTTAGATTATGAAAAATTTAATAATTTGGATATAAGTACAGAAAATAATCCTTGTGTAGCCAACTATCAGGACTTAAGAGTAATATTTTGCCACATTTTACTTCAGATATTATTATCATCATTTGTAGAAATAAGCTACAGATACAGGTGAAATACTCCATCCCAAATCTTTTTCTCTTCCTTTTATCCCAGAGATATCTTTTATCATTATCATAAATTGTGTCTATATATGTATGCAGCCATACTAATACATACTAATACATAATAATGGCTTTTTAAAAATTTTTATAGAGATGGTATCATACCTCTGAGTACTGCAGTTGGATCTCACAAGTTTTGCAGTCTTTTTTGTTTTTGATTGTTTCTATTTTTTTTTTAAGTTTTTCATTTTGATTTCCTTTGACCTGTAAGTTTCTAAAAATGTTCTTAATATCCATATATATGGCATTTTCTAGTTATTTCTTTAAAAATTGCTTGGTACCCTAATTATATCACCATTTTAATTCAAGATACCTTGTTAGCTCATATTTCTTAGAAATTTGTTTATGGAAATTTTGGAGGGACTGTACTTAAGGTAGATTTTCTTTAAGAAGGAATTTGCTTTCTCTCTTGTTTCTGGCACTACTGCTGGCCCCAGAAAAGCCCCTCTCCTTATACCCTAGGCCTCTGTTCCTCTGGTGTGAAAGGTTCCAGACTAGCAGTTTTCTTTGAGGGATAGTTTACCCTTATACTGAGGTTAAAGCTTTTGGGGACCTTAACTTGTGTAGCTTATATGGTCTTCTGTTAGACTCTCTGGGGCTGGCTGGGTCCCTTGCCCCTTGCCCCTCTAAGCTTTGAAACCCTGAAGCCAAGTTTGCTTGATGTTCCACTTTTTTTCTTTGGTTTTCCTTGAGAATTTGGCCTCTGGGTACTTATTTCTTGATTTAAATAGGAATTAGACAATCAAGGCTTTGTGTGAAGCATTGTTAAGTCTAAATATAGTAGCCTGTAGACGGATTTGTCTGAGATAGATATTCTTTCAGTTAGCAGTAGTTAGGTCTTTAGGGATAGATATTAGGCATCTAGTTAACAAGTTACTACAGCTACTTTGTACCTTACTGTTTCTTCAAGAATACAGCATTTATTTAGTATGTACCTTGACATTGTTCTACTTTATATATTTTCTCATTAATCCTCAAAAACATGCTGAATTAGGTTTACAAATAAACTTGAGGAGGCTGGGTAACTTGTCCAAGATTACTAGCTAGTAAGTGATAGAGCCAGAACTCAAATGCAAATATGTTTCAATTCAAAGCAATATGCTGTATTGCCTCTTCAGCTGCAGCTCTTGTTGCATATTATATTTAGCAGTGTGTACTATATATAGGAGTTACTTAATTGTTGATGCCTTGGTAACTATCTTGTGAGCTGAGACAGACAATAAAATAACTGGCATTAGGGATTTACAGATTTCAGCAGTAGAAAGTAATTTTGTGCCAGGCGTGGTAGTTCATGCCTATAATCCCAGCACTTTGGGAGGCTGAGGCAGGAGGATTGCGTAAGCCCAGGAGTTGGAGACCAGCCTGGGCAACATAGTGAGACCTTGTCTTTATAAATATATTGATATAAAAGAAAGTAATTTCAATATGACTATTGTTCATTTTTTTCCAGGAGGATTTGACACCTAAGGATATTGAAGAAATTATTGATGAGCTCAAGGCTGGCAAAATCCCAAAACCTGGGCCAAGGTATGCTTTATTTATATGTAAGAAGTTTTAGTGGCTCACCTAAATTAATCTTTCACATAAACTTAATTTTAAAAATTTGATACCTTAAGTTCATAGGAATTGGCAGGAGCTTTGGATAGTATTATCTGTATGAATGTCATCTACAGCAAGAATTTTTTTTTTCTAAAACCGTGTCTGATAATCATCTGATACCTATCTGAATATTTATAGAGAAGGAAATTTTACTACAAATAGAAATCTATTCCATTATTTAGAAGTTCATACTGATAGAAGATTGACCCAAAGACTATCTCCTTCTTAATTTCTACCTCAAAATCCAGTTCTGCCCTTTGAATCAACAAAAGGTAATTTTAGTACCTCTTCCAAATGACAGCTCTTCAGTTATTTGACATAGCTACCCTGTCTTCCCTGTATCTTTTTCTTAGATGGAATATCCACAATTGTTTCATTGTTTTTCTCATATGACATAGCTTTGGTCTCCCTTCTCTGGGTTTTCTAGTTGACTAGTGACTTTCATGCTTTAATGTGATGCTTAATCATGTTTTTTTAAAAAATATTTTGAGACGGTGTCTCACTCTGTCACCCAGTCTGGAGTACAATGGCGCAGTGGCACCATCTTGGCTCACTGCAAGCTCTGCCTCCCAGGTAGAAGCGATTCCCCTGCCTCAGGCTCTGAGTAGCTGTTGATTACAGGCACCTGCCACCACATCTGGCTGTTTTTTGTATTTTTAGTAGAGATGGGGTTTCACCGTATTAGCCAGGTCTCCGATCTCCTGACCTCGTGATCTGCCCACTTTGGCCTCCCAAAGTGCTGGGATTACAGGCGTGAGCCACCACGCCCAGCCTAATCATGGTATTTTGAGATACATACTGAGCAGCACAGAGCATTATGGGACTGCCTCCTTTGTTCCAGACATTATGCTTGTAATAATTCTGCCTAATTACATCAACTCCTACTTCAGAGACATTACGCAATTAACTGCACTTCATAATACATAGATCTTTTTCTATTCAGTTTATCCAGGTTGCTCCTATCCCATACTTGTGTTATATTAATTACTTTCCTTTCAGTTATGAACTTGAACTTTTACTTTTAAACAAACCCTTATTCCATATATAAGTGTTAAATCACTCAAAATTCTCTCTTAATACTAGCAAATGTTTGCATGGTTTTAGTCATAATCCCTCAAATTTTTTGTGTTTATATATATAAATTTTTTCTTCCCTCAGCACATTTGGAGGTTTTGATGTCCATACGGTAATTCTAATGTTTTAAAACAGCTGTGATGTGCTCTTACTCCAGTTTTAAAATATTTTTCTTAAGCTTTATTATAAATAAAAATTCCCTGAAGTAGAATTACTAAGAAGGTATGAGTGGTTCTATAGTTTGCTAAAACTACTAATAATACCCTACTTAATGAGAAAATGAGGTCGATTCAGGATAACTTAAGTTTAGTAAATGTTAGCTGACCCCTGTTGACCATTACTTTCTTTTCTAAGAAACACATACTGTTTTCAACACCCTGGGCGTATAGAATTGAATTTCCTTAAGGAGTTTTGGCATTTTCTTCCTAATTCCTCACTTGCTTGGGTATACCCCCTTTTTTAGGAGGTAAATCATTTCCCTGGTGAAAAATCATTCTCCTTTATGGAGGCAACTGAAGTGAAATCTTTAGTCATCTAACATTACAGTATCTTTTTAGCTAGTGCTCCTATCTCTTACTTATTCTTGCTTTAAATAGACACTCTCCCCCCACTAAAAGTACAAATTCCATAGTATTTTCTACAGGCTTCACCTGCTTTTTAGGAGTCAGGTATTTTAAAATAAATGCAGCTATTCTTAGGTTTGTACTTCAACCCATAACTTCTTTCACCTTTTGGGTACTCTAAAGAATATCTCAAGTGCAGATTTCCTTGTGAAATCCACTTGGGTTCTTTAGATGGCCCCTCTCTTCTGATTAGATGTTTTAAATTCTATAGTCATAACTTTGGTGTTGGGTTCCCCCCCCCCCCCCCCCCCCACCCCCAGATGGAGTCTTGCTCTGTCACCTAGGCTAGAGTGCAGTGGTGTGATCTCGGCTCACTGCAACTTCTGCCTCCCAGGCTCAAGCGATTCTCCTGCCTCAGTCTCCTGAGCAGCTGGGACTGTAGGCATGTGCCACCATGCCCAGCTAATTTTTGTATTTTTAGTAGAGACGGGGTTTTACCATGTGGGCCAGGCTGGTCTCGAACTCCTGACCTCAAGTGATTTGCCTGCCTTGGCCTCCCAAAGTGCTGGGATTACAGGCATGAGCCACCACGCCCGGCCACTTTGGTGTTTAGAATCTTCTGCTTTGCTTCTTGTGAACTGTGGGATCTATGGTTCACAACATTAATCCTGTTATTACTCTCCTGCCACACAAATTGATAGTTGCTTTGTCTACTTTGTTATGTCACATTACATTACATACTCAACAGTCATTTTTTTCACAAACTTTTTTTGAGTGCCTGCTGTGTCAGACATTATTTTAGGTTGTGCGTACAATTATGAACAAAATAAAGTTCTCATCTTCTAGTGATGGAAACAGATGACTAGTGTAATATGTGAGTGATAAAAAGGCTACACAATAAAATGAAGCAGGGTTAGGGGATAGATTGGGAGTAAATTTAGTGAGGAGAGGCCTCTTAGAGGTGGTAACATTTGAGCCATGAACTGAATGAAGAGCTAGAGGGAACCATGTGAAGTGGAAGGAACAGTGTTCCAGGGAGGGGAAACAGGATGTATCAAAGTCCTGGAAGAAAAGTAAGGTAACAGTGTGACTGTAGTGAGGTGCTCAAGAAAGAAAGCAGTGGAAGGGGTCAGAGGAGATAAGGCCCAGATCAGTAATCTGGGCTGAATCTTAAATATAATAAAAACTGTTGTTGGAATGTTTTCAGTAGGGAATGAAATGAGCAATCTTAAAAAATATTGTCATAGTTGCTATGTGGAGATTAGAATTTAGTAGATGTATGGGACTAAGGATTTATGAGTGATTTCCAGCTTTTTGGCTTGAGCATCTCTGAGGTTCCTTTACCGAAAATGGAGATTTGTGGTAGGGCAAGTTTGGGGAAGAAAAGTCAAATTTTGTTTTAGACATAGTAAGTTTGAGATGCCTGCTAGACATCCATGGTGTGATGCTGATAGGTAGATATGAACCTGGAATATAGGGAATAGGTTAGGGCTGGAAATGCAAATTGGGGATTCATCAGTTATTAAGGGTAGTATTTAAAGTTATAAATCCGGATGACATCGGGGTGAAATTAAAATCTGTTATTTGTAATATGAGGTACTATAACATTGTACTTTAACAATAAGCAGGAACTAAGTACTCAGTTAAGCATTTTCAACATCATCTGATAATAATAGGGATGTTGTTTAGCAGTAATCATGAATAGTTTTTCACTGAGATTTTCTTGATGGTGTTCTGGATTTGAACCAGATACTTTAAAATTATTAGTGTCTGAATCTACTTTTTTAACTTACTACCTCATTTAAAAAGCAGACAAAAGTCTACTTAGGTTTCAATAATTGCAAGCATCCACCAATGCTGTATTATATAAAGCTTGTATTTGGACATAGCAATACTAGAATGTCTTGTCAGCATATGAAAACAAGAACTTTTCACTTTACTTACCCAGTGTCTCGGATATATAGGGTAATGACAGAGACTGGGATAGCAATAACCATAATACAGTTATAGTTAACTCTTTAACCAAAGCTGTCTGATCCGTTTTTATTGATATTTTAATAATAAATATCTCTGCTCTTTGAAAGAAGTACTAATGGTGAGTCTCTGTAATGAAAAACCGAGAGGAATTAAACTGCTTCAATAGTAACTGATCCCTGAGTACCACTGCCAGGTCTTATCCTGGCCAAAATTAGTAAAAGATTGATGTCTATTTGTGGTTCAAAACTGCTTTTGTATTATCGTTGGTGAATGACCACTGAAAATATTAAAGCAGTGGTAAGATAGTACACTTGACTTGAACACTATGGGCATTAGGGACATTGATTGCTTATGCAGTTGAAGATCTATGTGTAACTTTTGACTCCTCCAAAATTTTACTGATAGCCTGCAGTTGTCCAGAGGCCTTACGAATAACATAGCACATATTTTGCATGTTGTATTCTATATTGACTGTATTCTTACCATAATCTAGAAAAAGTAAAATGTTATTAAAATCATAATGAAAATATATTTACTCTTCATTAAGTGGATCATAATACAAGTCTTCGTCATCATTTCCATGTTGTATAGGCTGAGGAAGAGGAGGGGTTGGCCTTGCTGTCTCAGAGGTGGCAGAGGCTGAAGAAAATCCATGTATAAGTGAACCCATGCAGTTCAAAACTGTGTTGTTCAAGGGTCAGCTGTACTCTCTTAAACTTGACATTACTAAATATGTTTGTGCTGAGATTGTTCTTATTTTCAGTGAATTTAAAGTACTGAAAAATTCTAAACTTGTTTTCAGGTTACTAATAGGTAGAAAGTTTTTAGCGTGGATTAGTTTATAACTCATTTTAAATCCAATTTTAATTCTGCATATTTAGTTTATAAAGACATTTTAAATTTTGCATAATTCCATGGGGTGCAGGTAATAGATGTAAAAAATATAGAGCCAGGCTATAGTTCCAGTGCGGTTGGTAGATGACTCTAGACAATAGTATCACTTTTGGTTTTTTATACTAAAAGTAGGAACAGTGCTGGATATAGCTCAGCAATAGTAAAAAGATAAGCACTAAACTTTCATAAAGTGATTTGTGTATACAAACTACTTTAAGCCATGAAAGTTTATAGAAAGGCCAAGTTTTCTAGAATGCAAATGAGTTAAAATGGTACGCATACGTATAGTGTTGGAATGACTGACGAACCATACTTTTTGAATTTTAGTGAAGACAAGGTAATTATTAGATGGCATTTTAAGCATGAGATATCAGGAAAATCATTTTTTGTTTAGTAAGTGAAAAACACTAGTGTAAATTGTGGCTGTCAGGTGAGTGGATAGGGCTAGCTCACTGCCTCTTGAGTGTTCTGAAGCATGTTTACAGGTGAAAGGGGGGGTTACATTTTTAGTAGATTAAACAAAATGATAGGCTTTATTGGAGGATTTTGTAGCCTTTGTAGTATTATAAGGTATACTGTGTGAATGGCAAGGAAGGGAGGTTTACAGCCAGACATACTGGATCACTGGAACTCCCATTTTTCTAGACAATGCCATGGGATTGTAATTTTATGGAACAAACTTTAGGAAACGACCAAATTATTTTTAAAGGTACTTCCGGCCAGGCGTGATGGCTCACGCCTGTAATCCCAGCACTTTGGGAAGCCGAGGCGGGCGGATCACGAGGTCAGGAGATCGAGATCATCCTGGCTAACATGGTGAAACCCCGTCTCTACTAAAAATACAAAAAATTACCCGGGCGTGGTGGCAGGAGCCTGTAGTCCCAGCTATTCGGGAGGCTGAGGCAGGAGAATGGCGTAAACCCGGGAGGTGGTGCTTGCAGTGAGCCGAGATCGCACCACTGCACTCCAGCCTGGGTGACAGAGCAAGACTCCATCTCAAAAAAATAAATAAATAAAATAAAATTACTTCCATATATAAAATTGTATAATCCTGTGAAGAACTCAGGAAGTACTTACGATTAATTCTCCCATTTACTGTTCCGGAAACTTCAGTTTTTATAATCTTCCTAAATTGATCCTTTGTGTTGAAAAACTGTGTGTTGATATTAAGGAGCTTATTAATTTTAGAAGATCCGTATCTATCCAAACTGGTAAGACACTTTAAGATACCAAATGCTCAGCTTTCAGAAGACATCTAAAATGAAACTTTCAAATCCTATTCCATTCTGACATTTGATCAAGAGAAAAGTTTTAGGCAGAAAAGAAAACAGGTAGCTGAGCTTAAACCGTAAGAAGAAACCTAGTAAAGGCGAATAAAGTTTCTCCAAAATAATTTCATTGGCATTTAAAGAGCAGCAGTGGTGCCTATCAATAGATAACATAAAAAATTACAGGCCGGGCACAGCGGCTCACTTGTAATCCCAGCACTTTGGGAGGCTGAGGCGGGCAGATTGTTTGAGCCAACAAATTCACGACCCGCCTGGGCAACATGGTGAAGTCTCGTCTCTACGAAAAATACACAAATTAGCCAGGCATGGTGATGCACACCTGTAATCCCAGCTACTCGGGATTCTGTCACCTGAGCCTCCTGAAGGTCAAGACTGCAGTGAGCCTTTATTGCATCACTGCACCCTAGCCTGGGTGACAAAGTGGGATCCTGTCTCAAAAATAAATAAAACTTAAAAATTGCAAAATATAATACTTTTTTTTTTTTTTTAAGTTAAGTATCATTTTGCTGCTTACTCTACAAGTTTCAGGCTCTTACACAATATACGACTGCTTTTTGATCTGTTTTTGTAGTGAACAAGACCTGTAATCCAAATATATTAACTGATTTCTGACTTTGTAGACATTGTTCATTACTTAGTAACTTGTATTATATGCTGTGATATCTTGAAAGATCTTATAAATATTATGTGGTGTCACTTTCCAGGCTCCAACAAAAAATGATTTCCTAGGGCTGTAAAGAACAGACTTAAAGGATTGATGACAATGTGAAGGGCAAAGCCAGAGGGGGTTGAAAAGATATAAACTGAACAAGTTCTTCCTTTAGGTAAATCTGTGGCAGGAACAGGTAAATTAGCAAAGCCAGGCAATAGTGGTGGACGGGTGACATGATATGGTAAGCGCTGAGCTGGGCTCTAGAAACAGAGGTCAGACAGGGCAGAGGTGCGCAATTACCTGGGAAAGTGTGTGTGGGGTTGACAGACAGGTTCTTCTCCCTCTATGCTGCCTGTCTTCATAAATTGCTCCATCAGGACTTGTTCTTGTTTGCTTCCTTTTGTGGCTGCTGTGGCCATCCTGGTTTGGAAACTTTTCCAGAAAATTACTGCTACTAATACAGTCTTTATAATACATAAATACAAACTGATTTTGACTTCGCTGCTTCTAAGGGACATTGTCCCAAATCATATTTCCTCAAGGAATCCAGTTTCTCTCTATTTCCAAATACAATATATAAGTGTGTGTATTCCCTGTATTCACTGTGACTGTGGATCTCGATCTAAATAAAATTCAATTGTAAGAAATACAGTGCTCTAGTTTATTAAAACATGGTTTTTAAAAATGTTCTCTGGGGTTGGGTATTTTTGCCATAGTTCTTTGCTTTGATTCTTGGGTAGATGCTGAATCTCCCAAATTTGGTTTCTCATCTGTAAAATAAAGTCAGTATCACTTGTCTTGTGGCATTGCAAAGATTAAATGAGCTAATGTATGCATACTGCTCAGTAAATAGGAACTATTGTTAGTGCTACTTTTGTATTTTTTATGTTTATGGTGAAGTCTGATGTTTTTCCATATTTAGGAAGAGAAGATCTTGCATCACTTGAAATGTTTGAATTAAATAATCCATGCTAGTTCTTGGGGTAAAAATAGTTACTTAACTGGGCTCTTGTGAGGTAACAATTACAATTTAAGTAGAAATTTAAAAATGTTAATCATTAATAGTTTAATATTACTTTTCATTTCAGGAGTGGACGCTTCTCTTGTGAGCCAGCTGGAGGTCTTACCTCTTTGACTGAACCACCCAAGGGACCTGGCTTTGGTGTACAAGCAGGCCTTTAATTTATATTGAACTGTAAATATGTCACTAGAGAAATAAAATATGGACTTCCAATCTACATAAACTTTTTATATTATGTTTATTCTGCTCTGTGTACATCCTCGTGGTAACCTTAGCAACTTGCAGCTCTAAGTATTATGTCATAATGACAGAGGACCATTTTAAAGTCTTCTATCTATGACTGTGAAGACATTACATAATCTAGTTAACAGTTACTCTGGTGTCACCCATTTTCAATTTCCAGATTGCTTTTATCAAGATCAGGTTACTGTGAAGTAAAAATTTGGTCAAATTTCACATGTTTTGCTTTCCCATCTTTAGCCACAGCCAAGTTTTAAGTTAACATGATCTTTCTATAAACTTTTGTCAGTGTTCCCTGTAAACATTATTGTATTTACAACACATAATGGTTACTGTATTTCCAACTGGTGAGACCTCAAGTGCACTGTAGGTTTAAGGAGGGTATGGTAATTGTCTCTAGTCTCTAGAAGCATTACCTTTTTTTTTTTTTTTTTTGAGACGGAGTCTGGCTGTGTCTCCCAGGCTGGAGTGCAGTGGCACAATCTCGGCTCACTGCAAGGATTACAGGCATGAGCCACCGTGCCCAACGGAAGCATTACCATTTTTAGAAAAGAAAGGTCCAAAACACTTTTGACATTATCCTTAGCTATTCTGACACTGCAAGTACACAAAAAATAATTGGGTGAATGTATTGGAAGCATGATTGTATACACTCTGCAGTGGTATGGATATTACAACTTAGAAAAAAGGATAAAACCATTTGTGTATTAAGAAACTAGCTGTAGTACATTAGTTTTACAAATAGGATTAGCCAGCTTTAATGCATGAATAAATTTATATATATTAGATTTATCTATCCTTGATTTCTCAAAGTCACTTGTACTTGAAACAGACCATTCACTATCTTTTTTTTGAGACAGGCTGTGTCTCCAGGCAGGAGTACAGTGGTGTGATCATGGCTCACTGCAATACTCTGGCCTCAGAGAGGTGCCACCAACCTGGTTAATTTTCATATATTTTTTGAGAGACAGGGTCTTACTATGTTGCCCTGGCTGGTCTCAAACTCCCAGGCTCAAGCCATCTGCCCGCCTCAGCCTCCCAAATTGCTGGGATTACAGGCGTGAGTCACCGCGTTCGGCTATAACGATTATTTTTAAGTATATCTTTAAGAATTTTTTTTTTTAATTGAGACACGGTAAACAAGAGTTAATTTTCCAAGTGGCACAAAAAAGTAATGAAAATGTCCTAGCCTGGAGCTCTCTTGACTTTCTCATAGGCGACTTTTTCTTTGTATTTCACATCATAAATAACCAAATTAAATGTAACACTATTCCACCTCTAGCCGTAAGGTGCTCTCTTTCTAGTCTTGTTGACCCTAATGATTTGTAGGTGGGAGAAATCGGGAACCTAGGAAAGGGAAAACTCCTGATCTTTAATGCAGGTTTATGCTTTATATAGTAATTTGATGGGACCTCGCCGTTCCTGTCAGGTCTGAATGTCATTTCATCTGCTGTGATCACATCTGAACCCTCAGTTCATCAAGACTAAAGGACAGTTTAACATAAACTTGTAACTGCATGCAGTAAGTCATAAACGGACGCTGTTGTTGCAGATTAACCTCTGCGTAAATAATACGCGCCCAGAAGGAAGTGAGCACACGGGGTTGCCACGCTGCGACGGTCAGTTTTCCTCAGGCACCCTTCCCAGTACCTGAGCAGCTCCCTCTCGAATCCCCAACACTACGTGTGGGAACGTGCACTGAATTCCTCTTTAAAGAGGCCACTGGAAGGCGTGGCTGGAAGGGGACGCGCTCTAGATCCCCTGGTCCCAGGGCAGGTGGACGCTACCGCGCTTTCGGGGCGGGGCCCAGGGCTCCACCTGGGGCGGGGGACCGCGGGCTCTGGGCGCAGGTGCAGCTTTTCCGGCCTGGTGCGGGGCCAGGCGGCCGCCGCCGGCTTAGCGGGGCAACTTCGCCTAGTCCTCGAGCTGCGGTCGCAGCGTCATTTTGCCTGAGTTGGATCACGCTCGTCCACCCATCCCGTGTAAAAATAACAGGTGTATACCCTATGTGGGGATCTTCATCGCCGCCGCCTTTTCCAGAAGCTTCCAGTCACAGCCACTGCCACGGTCGCCACAAATGCTACTGCAGAGCCCGCTTGCCCAGCAGCGTCAGCGGCGCCTGCCCTGCCTCTTCACCCAGCCTTTGATTCCCCCTCCTTTGTCGGATGGTGTCTGCGGCGGGGAGGCGGTAACACTAGCCCGAGTGGGGCGTGGACACCGACTAACACAAAGGGCGGAGTTCCGGCCCGC